ACCTGCGAAGGGGTGTTTCCGGGATCAATTGTGGACGATATATCCCACGGATCACCGATGGACTGCTCGAGCAAACTACTATCGGCGGCTCGGCTGGCATTTGATGACAATGTAGCGGTTGACTGATCAGGCGCCTCGCTGGCGTGAAACTCCGGGTAGTGAACATATTCTTGTCCTTTGCCGGGTCGTGGTAAGAGGATGTGCTCCGGTTTGGTCGGAAACGGCGTGGCCGAGTAAACATCGTGCGCTTCCTGCTCGTGGTCTTTGTCACTGACGATCCGCAAGGAGGGTGACGGAGACGTCTCGTTCGTTTGGGATGCACTGCGCTCATGGAGAGCTCTCCATCGAGGAGAAGAATTTGTCGAGTGTCCAGTTGAACGCATGTTGTTTTGGGTGATTTATTTCATATTATCAGCAAACACCGGCAGAATATTAACTAATTAGTCAAAAGTAACGATAGCGAAATGAGTGTGGAGAACAGAAGGTAATTAAGTTGATCACGCGTTTGACCGAGGGAAAGTCAAGAAAATCGAGATCGAAAAGAATAGAAAATATGGTAGTATTCGATACTGATCGGATTTGCCTGGTTGCTTTGTCGGTCCGATGGCTAGAGAGGTATGTAGTATGCTCGACTGCTATTATTGCTGCTTTTGTTGTTGTTGTTGTTTGTTGTGGTCTATAGCGCTGTGATGCAATAAGGAATGCTTCGATACAACCAAAACCAGATGCAGAATATAAGTCCAGTTCAATGGCAAGACAACGAAAGGAGCGTAGTTGTGACGATGAAAAAGAATCTCGTCAACAGTTGGAATAAGGAGTCAAGCCAGACTGGTGGAGCGAAAGCTAAGTTGAAGAATTGAAGATGCAAAGAGCGTTTGAACTGGAGAGAGAGACCTAGAAGCACCGAAACGAGTGTCTCTAAAAGAGCGACAGAAAGCACAACGACTGGAAAACGACGAACCAAAACCTGAAACACGGAAAACCCATCAGAATAAGTAAAGCATGCAAGGCACGAGCAGCACTAAGTGGGCATTATATGGAATCTGGTTGCTCCGCTGGCGGTGAAAAGCCCGGCGTTAGCGGGCTCTTTAGCCGCAGCCCGTAAGCCATTTTGGACCTGTGGAGGCCTGGAGGGGGGCTGTGGCAGTCAAGCTGGCAGAATACGGACGCAAAGTGACCTCTCGTTTGTTGCCTTTTCTGTCAGGGGTATGCAGCTGCACGCTTTAGAGCAGTGCTTTGAAACCATCCAATTGGTTGGTGGGAATGAAAAGAAAGCGAAGCAGGGATGATCTTTGTAAAACAGCTTGCCTTTGTTGATCAAGATAGCTATGTTTGTCCTCTGTGGAAAGTACGCGGAACTAGTACTCCATGGTACTAGTCGTAATGTCCTCTAGGGGTGACAATGAATGCCTGGCCTGGATCCCGAGGTCTGTACAAATCTCCTCATGGATGGAGGAGACCGAAGAGGTTCGCGGCTAGTTCATCTCAGGGTAACCAGGTTGTACCAAGAGAGCGGTTCCGGATCATCGGAATCTAATAATAATCCTCATCGTCATAATCTCAGGTAAAATGATCAGGAACAGCCGTGAATCATTGTTTCACTTGCTGGAAATTAGACGATTCGAGAGTAATTTCGCTCGGTGATGATCACTGAATTCGGTGGTTGAGGTTGGACACGGACCATGAGTACGACGATAGGGGTCGGATAAGGGGAGCAGTCGAGAACATTACTTCATTAGACCAGTATCGCCAAATTTTCGCAATCTTCGAGCATTTGCAGGTTGTCTAGTACTCCGTACCAGATAGTGATCGGCTTCCAGAGTCCTCTATGGAAGTACTCTGTATTGGCTGCAAATATATGCAAGGTATGGAGTACCATCTGCTCTAAGAAAGCATGATCAAGTAAGGTACTATGCAGACGCAGGACATCCACCTGTAAGTCTGTGACTTCATGTACTCGAGAGACACTCGTCACGTCTCAGCCACCACGAAGGCAATATGTCTTGATCGTGGTTGTAAAATTGCCGCGGCTGTGACCGATCTCATGGGGGAGTTCACGGAGTCGAGATCTTGACTTTCCAGTTCTCGAACCTCGAGGACTCGAGATGAGATTAGACCGAAAGCCACGAAATGAACGATGATCGGTGGATCTAGTTGATAGCTTCAGACTTCAGTACTCCGTAAATACTAATAGTTGAACTAAAACACTTCGATTTCCCCCTCGTCCCCGACGATTCGAGGTTCTAGAAATTCAGAACGTCTGATTGGCAGCGGGGATCAGCAATTCAATCATTCTCGCAATGGTAAAGTCCAATAAGGGCGCTGTTTCAGAAGGCAAAATGACAGTCTCGAAGCGACTAATTTAGTCCCATGCAGTAAGGCTGCCAACTCACCGGTGGATCTTGTCTACCGATTTAGTTTCCACGAGTTACCATTCTTTGAGAGTTGAGACTCTTTCGAGTCTCGAGGAGTCGAGTGACTCAAGTCAACTGCGGCTATCCAAATTCCGAAGACTTATTTTGAGGTCAGAGGCTGGATAAAAGGACCAAGTATATGATCCGAATTTCACGAGCAGCAGTCCTTTCCCAATGTCATAGAGTCGTGTACAGAAGTACAGAGTGTTGAGGTCTAGAGGGTGGACAGTGGGGGAAGAGATCCAGCATTCCCGATTGGGTTATATTGTGGGTGTCAAACAATAGTGGATGCCTTTCAAATCAGGCACAAAACTTCCTGCCTTTCTTGCTTGCTTTTTCTTTGTTGGATAGTCGCTCTCATGCTTCGCATCAAACTTGGTGTCAAGCTGCCCTGATGCATTAAATTTCAGCAACTACATTCTCAGGGTAATCATCATTATAATCATCATCGTCTTTCTATTTTCGCTGAAAGATCGAGCCTGTTTAATCTCTGATTGCCAGACTGTTTCCCTGCTGCTTGTTTACTTGCACGTGCATCTCTCCAACGCTTTCGCAGATAAGGCAAATTCCGGTACACTCCTACCACTGCTTTAGGCTTTATGGCTCCTGTCGGATTTCTGGCGCGTCTTCGAACGCTTTATACCAAAAATCATGGTAATCTCTCCTCTACAGCATGTGCATGTCGATTTCTAACTATCCCGCATTAGACGAGCCTGTCATTTCGCTCCGCACGGCCGCTTTCTTCTCGGTATGCATCTCTGGCCCTAGCGCTTTCATTCCTCATGCATCTTTCAAGTAAATGAGCAGTGATGTTTCATTCCAGTATGAGGGGAGATTACCAGAGTACACAACAAATACTGGAAGCTCTTCATTCAAGACATTCTATCGTGCTCATATTAAAACATGGATCTCATGGTCCATACAGAACGAGCGACTAACTCCCACTACAGGTGCTCCTAACTTTACTCTACGTGGCACCATTCTACATATCCCCAACTACGCGCCCATCTCAGACGCTTAGTCGAGATGCTCCCTCTGTGATTCGAGCAAGGATCAGGGCGGTGACCTGGTCTTGTTCCGTGGGCACCCTTGCGGTTCTATGGCTAATCGTAGCTAAAAACAATGCTTCAATTCCAGAGGCTGTGAGGCTTCTGGGATGGTGGCCTATCAACCTCTGGGACATCTGCCGTGCCTTGCTTCTGACAGCTATCCTATTTACTGGACCTCTCTTTGAGCGTGGCATTGCCGAAGGAGAATGGAAAGACTGGCTCAAAGGAAACAAAATCTCGGAGACTCTCCATGGTTGGATTGGATGGCGGAATTACGTCGCTGTGAGTAGCGCTCGATACGGGAACTCGTCGCAACTATGGCTTACAAAATATGCAGGGTCCCATTACGGAGGAGATCATGTTTCGGTCCGCCATTGTGCCTCTCCATCTCCTAGCGAGGGACACCCCGGGCCACATCGTTTTTGTGGCTCCTCTTTATTTTGGGATCGCACATGTGCACCATTTTTATGAGTTCCGCTTGACGCATCCAGATACTTCAATCTTTGCAGCATTGTTCCGATCGGTGTTCCAGTTTGGCTATACTACCATCTTTGGTTGGTATGCCACCTTCCTGTATCTTCGAACTGGTTCTTTGCTAGCGGTCATTCTCGCCCACAGCTTCTGCAACTGGTGCGGACTTCCTCGACTGTGGGGAAGGGTCGAGGCCGGTGTCCCCCTCGGGCCACCCTTGGTTAAAGGCAAAGAAGACTCCGATGTGAAGAGCGCATACGTCGCTTATGGTAAACTGGGCCTGGGCTGGACAGTTGGATACTATGTACTTCTTGTTTCAGGGGCAATTGGCTTCTATTACGCCCTGTGGCCGCTAACTGACTCGCTAAATGCGCTTGCTGCGTTCAAAGGCCGGTCCAAGTGATCGCATGGTTTCTTGGGCGCTTCTCGACCAAGAACATTCATCGGGGTATCACCCACGAGCTGTTTTATTTCTCCAGTTTTGTCATTTCCTCCTATATATGATGTTAATGCTTTATTTCTACTGCACCATATTACGATAACACGAGCAAGTGGATACCTGGTTGAGTGATGTTGAGATGATTTGTGTATGAAGCGTGTTTACGATGGCATGGCGGTTTGATAATGATAATGATGAGTACCAAATATGTTTCTGTTTATATGTTGGTAGGAGAACTGAAGAGGAATATTCGATGTCCTGCCGCATTGAGGAGATTGAGGTACCTTGACAGTTCCATGCAGAAAACTCCGTTATCTCCGAGTCCGCCTCGGACACACATAATTAGGTCATTTTATCTACCGATCTATCTGCAAAAGTTCTCAAAGTACCCATGCCAATTAACCATTATCTAGTGCATAGTCCAAACCCTCGAACTTCATGAGGCCACGATTGAAGAATTGCCGCTCACTCATAAGTGGGTGCGGCAAGACCACCACACCAGCTCGGTTCTTCTCTTCCAGCATTTCCCGCTCGAAACCCCTGCGCGCTCCTCTAAATATACCACCACCGTTTCCTGTGACTGAGAAATGTCCAGAACCCAGCTGTTCGTGTCCTGCTACGCCAGCTATGCCCGAAGGGCTTCCGATCGACTTTGATCAGCCATTGAACGGAACAATGGCAGCATACACCCAGCAGGTCGTCATCTGCACTGGTCAGAGAGATTGGGCCAGTCGCATTGAGGATGATGGCAAGGACCAAAACTGGGGAGAGCTAGTGAGAGGCTTGAAGAAGCTGATGGGCCGTGGTGGGCGCTATGCAGATGTAAGTCTACGCTTGAGACTGTTCTACACGCGCTGACAAAATGCGATTCCGTAGCCGTTCAATAACGTCTTGGTTTCGAACTCGTCCTTTCCTCCTTCGTCCTCCACTTCTACCGCCTCGGCCTTTCTCTTTCCCCGATTCAAATATATTGCCTCAATCTCCACGAATGTCTCCGAGGAGCAAAATGCGCAGACAGGTCTCGCAACGTTTGTCCAAGCTTTCCTTCTCCCGGAACAGCTAAACCCAATGCAAGATTCCCTCCCCGAATCTCAGCGGGCGGAATTAACCCGCAAGCCGGAACTTGCGTCCAATTTTCCAGACGCGATCGACATCCAGTACTCTCCTGTTGTATTGATATGCGGTCATGGTGGTCGTGACATGCGCTGCGGAGTCATGGCACCTGTCCTTGAAAAGGAGTTCAGCCACGTCTTGCGTGCGCGGGGTTTCTCGTCCGCCGGAGGGGACGGTAATCCAATTGACAGCCCTGAGCATGCCCATACTGGACTGATCAGTCATGTCGGTGGTCACAAGTACGCTGGAAATGTGATTGTGTACATTCCTCCCGGGATGAAGGCAGGTGGCTCCCCTCATCCGCTGGCGGGTAAGGGTATCTGGTATGGACGTGTTGAACCCAAGCATGTCCAGGGTATTGTAGATGAGACTATAATGAGCGGAAGAGTGGTACTCGATCATTTCCGGGGCGGGATTGATCGCAATGGAAATATCCTGAGGGTATAGAGTTGTCCAGGATATAGATTCTTCTGTCAGACCAGATAACGAGTATAGATATATGCTAGATAGATCATGAAATGCCCATTTGGTGTACATCTCCCAATGGAAAAAAAAAAAAAAATAAAAAAAAAAAAACTCTGAATCGAGGATATAGTCCTCCTCTCATGGCAACTCATCAACAAATACAAGCTGATTGCCTCATCTGTCATTAATCAGATGTATTTCATTCCCAAACCAGCTAGCTTGACACTAATCCAATTTGGGTGCGAAGCTGCCGGAGCCGAAAATCATCGTCGGAGTAAACTTTCAGTGATGCAACAAACATTGACTCTGGGTCATGCTTCAATATCAGCTCCATTGCCTGATACAATTTGCCTCAATGGCTGAATAATTGTTTTGCACCATACGATGGTCAAACAGCGAACATGCAATCCATATCCCGACTGCGATTGAGCCCGACCGGCTTCATACAAGGCCGATGGAGATGCGCCGCCCACCGCCCGGCCTTGAGCAATTTCATCCGACTTGCGACGACGTCAGCGACTTCAATATCCAGGAAACTCGATCTGCCGGCGATTGATAGAAAATGGCAGGAGAAGTGGCAAGCGGAGGGAACGCGGTCGTCGCCCAACGGCAGCGCGAACAAAGAAAACCGGGGAGACAGACCAAAGTCGTACATCCTCTCCATGTTTCCCTACCCCTCGGGGACATTACATATGGGCCATTTACGGGTCTACACGATCTCGGATGTATTGGCGCGGTTTTATCGTATGCGAGGGCATGAAGTTCTCCATCCGATGGGCTGGGATGCGTTTGGATTACCGGCGGAGAATGCGGCGATCGAACGCGGCATTGACCCGGCCGAATGGACGAAGCAGAATATCGCGAAGATGAAGGAACAGTTACGCAGCATATCGACGTCTTTTGACTGGGATCGGGTATGTACCAAATACGTCTGAATTGGACTAGTTGACACTTGTTGACCAGCTCCGGCGCGGGGCTCTAGGAACTGGCGACGTGCTCGCCCGAGTTCTACGAACATACCCAACGGATATTCCTGATGTTGTATCAGAAAGGTCTTGCCTATCAGGCAGAGGCGCTCGTCAATTACGATCCGGTTGATAAGACGGTGCTTGCGAACGAGCAGGTGTGTCTGTTACACTTTGAGATGGATACTCTTCAAGGCTAACTTCTCTTCAGGTTGATGCCAATGGTTTCTCATGGCGCTCCGGCGCAAAGGTTGAGAAGTTGAAGCTAAAACAATGGTTCTTCCGAATCACGGATTTCAAGGAAATGCTACTGAAAGATCTGGACTCGTTGGCTGGGGTTTGGCCTGAGCGCGTATTGACTATGCAGCGCAACTGGCTGGGCAAGTCATACGGTGCGAAAATCAAATTCCCAGTCGCTGTTGGTGGGAGCGGTGATACAAGTCTCCATGTCAATGTTTTCACCACGCGCCCAGATACCTTGTACGGAGTTGAATATATCGCACTCTCTTTGGACCATTCCATTGTCCTTGAGGCTGCAAAAAAGGATGCGGCCTTGCGGAAATTCCTCGATGAAGCAGCTTCACTTCCACCTGACTCCAAGGTTGGTTACAAACTGTCGAGTGTGACTGCTTCAAACCCGTTGCACATCATTGACAAGGAAAGCCCTCATATTGCGCGGAAATTGCCCATCTTCGTGGCCCCTTACGTTCTCAGTGACTATGGTGAGGGAGCCGTTATGGGAGTTCCAGGTCATGACTCTCGAGACTTGGCGTTCTTCATTGAGAACACAAATCCCGAATCAATTCCCGTCGTCATCGAACCGGAACACTCGCCTGACCCAAAAAACGACAGCACAGGCAGTGTTGCCCCTCCAAATGACCTGAAAGCATTTACCCAAGAAGGTATTCTTACCTCGAGATGCTGGAAATACCAGGGTCTCCACTCCCGTGAAGCCAAGAAGCAGATCGTCACCGACCTTAAAGGTGTTGGCCATGGTGATTTCGTTGAGCAGTGGAGGCTCAGGGACTGGCTTATCAGTAGGCAGCGCTACTGGGGAGCTCCTATCCCCGTGATTCACTGTGACAGTTGTGGCCCTGTGCCTGTGCCGGAGGACCAGCTTCCCGTCCGACTACCCAAGATTGAGGGTGACTGGCTCAAAGGGAAGAAGGGCAATCCCCTCGAGTCGTCGCAGGATTGGGTCAACACGAAGTGCCCAAGTTGCAGCGGGCCTGCAAAGCGCGACACAGACACCATGGATACCTTCGTCGACTCGTCCTGGTACTACCTCCGCTTTCTGGACGCTCACAACAAGGAGCGGCCATTTTCACCTTCAACAGTGCGACCGGTCGATGTCTACATTGGCGGTGTCGAGCACGCTATTCTGCACTTGCTATATGCTCGATTCATCTACAAGGTCCTTTCCCAGTCGGAGTTGTTCCCAGAGATCGCTCGGACGGGCAACCTCTCGGGGCCTTCAGAACCGTTCAAGACACTCCTGACCCAGGGTATGGTCCATGGAAAGACGTATACTGAGCCGTCCACTGGCCGGTTCCTACTCCCGTCGGAAGTTGATCTTTCCAATCCGAACAAGCCACTCATCAAGGGCACCCAGGTCACCCCAAATATCTCTTTTGAAAAAATGTCGAAGAGCAAACACAACGGTGTGGATCCCACGTCTTGTGCACTGAAGTATGGCGCTGATGCCACCCGTGCACATGTTCTTTTCTCCGCACCTGTAAGCGAGGTGCTGGAGTGGGATGACATGAAGATTGTGGGCATTGAGCGTTGGTTCGGTCGGCTCTGGAAACTTGTGCTGGATGCGAAGCAAAGCCTGGCTTCGGCATCATTTGCAGTCTCACAGACTGATCTACAGAAATCTTCCGGCCTAACCTCCACGCTTCCTGCCCTATTGCAGGGTATCGGTGACAGTGATGCTGATGGCGTTCTCCACACCCATCAGACCGTCGTATCGGTGACCAACTGCATTGAAAACAACCCCTACGGTTTGAACACCGTCATCTCCGACCTGACTAAGTTGACCAACGCGTTGTCATCGTCAACTCCGCCAACCCCCCAGGTTCTGTATCTTTGTGTCTCCTCACTTGTCCGGCTTCTGGCTCCTGTGGCCCCGGCCTTGGCCTCTGAATGTTGGGAGGTTCTCAATAGTTCACTCATCGACGAGAATACGAGCGCTGAAACTCGAGTACCGAACATCTTCGACTGCGCGTGGCCTTCTCCCCTTTTGACCTCCGAGCAGGCTGATGTTCTGTCCGCGCGCGGAGGCCAAATCGTAGCTGTTCAGGTCAACGGCAAGCTACGCTTCACGGTGACTATTCCTCGGAGATTGTCCGCCACAACATCTGCGGAATCCAGTGACAAATCTGGTGCAGTCACTGATGAACAAGACTGGATTATCAGTCGGATTTTGGAAACGGACGAGGGGCGCGTTTGGCTGCGAGAGAAGAACGACTGGGAAAAACGAAGACGAGTAGTGGTTGTCAAAGGAGGCAAATTGGTGAACATTGTCTTCTAAACTGGGCAAACTGCTGAAACGTATAGACATTGTATATTAGAAGTATAGTAGATCCATCTCTCGAAGACCGCACCGTGGAATCTCTCTTGCAAGAGATTTTGAACGTTCTTGATTTCTTGCAGCTTCGGCTTTTCTCGTCCAGCGACAATGACCGGGATTGACACTTTCCAAGCAATTGCCCATGCGCTTACGTAGGTCTCATCCGGATTGCGCGGTTGAGTGAGGAGCAGTGGGGAGCTGGCGGAGGCTTTCCCCTCATCGCGGAGCTGACCCTGGTGATGCTGGCATTGCAACCCAACATTGGGCGGGTCTAAACTATCCTCGATCTCAACGATGATGTGTATTGCTTGATTGATGGGGTCCGAAGATTCGGATGAAATTTGGTAAAAGCTCGGGTATGAGTATTATAGATACATGCATCAATTGTCGCGTTGACTTTTCGGTCGGATACCTGGAGCTCGGTTAGTGGGCCGGGCGTGACTGGGAGCCAAGATTCCGGAAAACTGGATTGAATCTTTGATACACCAATTTCGAAGATACTTTGAGGAATGATTCCGATAGCCATGATAGATATTTGTCCATTTGTTCGAGCGGCAATTGCTCGAACCGAACTCGGGTGGTTTGTCTTAATGTGGGCTCAGTATGTGCGGGGTATGAGGGGGCTTCCTCCTCACGAGGGGTCGATGATGTTATGAGGTTATGAGGGGGGGTTTCACAGCTATCTCGATCGGGAATAGCGTGCCATACCAGATCCCCTCAGTGTTTTACTGGGTTACTGGGTATTCAGGGCATCTACTGTACTTGTAGTAACAGGAAATACGAAGTCGAGATGTACTAACACCTTGGATTCACCGTAAAGGCCGAGAATAAGCCGTGATTGACATGTACTATTATTATCACTATGGTGTGGACTGTGTATGATCACCTTCCTAGACTGTTTGCTGCGTGAGGCTGAACCCAGTATCAGTATCCTCTTATCTGCCAACCCCTCACTAAGAGGTCAAGGTACTCGTTTTCCTCCCCTACTATGCAAGAACATACCTATAGGGTAAGAATCGCCGGGGTTATTGTCTGTATTCTATTAAAGAAATTCGTAGTTGCGACCGACGATGTGTACCTTATCATTGTATGTTTAGCTGAACCCCGCATTGCCATAGTCTTTCGAGTCTCCCATAGTTGTAGCAGCATAGGTTGGTCGCACAACGATCATGCCACTTGGGGATGCTGCTTGATAGTATTACATGCGTCTTCAAGAATAAGCAATATTAATCATTAGACACTGCTCTTCCTTTTCAACCAGGATCATAATCCTATTACCCAGTCGAGGAGTGCCAAAGGTCAAAGCTCTCTCCAACTCCAACCACTCGGTGCTCTCTTCCTTGTTGTCCCGCGTGCGGAGAGACCCATCCATCATCCCATCCCATCCCATCCCATCCACTGTCCATGGAATCCGTTGATCCGTTCGTATTCTTGACTACTGGACTAGTCTGGACTAATAGTATTCTGAACAAGGCTGATCTGCCATTACCCACTCTCTGGTGGAGTTCTGCCCATCCCCAATGGATATTGCCGCATACACACTCCAATTCACCTAGATACCTTGATGGTTACTATGTGGTAATGTGGTACTACGACGCATAAGAGTAGCACTGGTGTCTTGAGAATTGGAGAGGGGCAGTTTGCATGGGTCTGTTCACCAGGAAATTCGTCTGGTAAAGGACCCAGAGAGATCTATATATTGGGGCCATTTCCCTGTAGGTCTGAATGCTCTTCTTTTTTCTTGTATCAATCTCATCATCAATATCATCATTTGCTCATATCTTCTGCTTGATCCGAATCCGGTAAGTTTCTTCATATGTCTCTCTCTCTCTCTCATTCTGGAGCAGCCATACTCTTCGCCTTCTCCCTGGATGCATGATTCCCCACATTCCATGTCATCCAGTCTTTCCCCCGCCTTGCATCATGGATTATTGCTCCGAATTGAGACCATCGACTATCTGGCTCGGGCCTAGAAGTCAATCATGATTTAAATAGAGTGCTGACGCCCTCATTCTCAGGTTCATCACTCAATCATCCTTGCTCTTTCCCATCTAACTCAATCAACTTCAATTCAAAATGGTATTTATCCGTTCTTTGTCCCGTCAGCTGCGGCGGCCTGCCACTTCTCTTCTTTCTACCAAAGGAGCCTTTTCTCCTCCCAGTAGTAGTCCCTTCCGGGCTGCTCCTGTGGCAGGGTCCATCTCTGGTGCACGAACGCTGACAGCCTCTGCCAATCTACAGGGCAAGGTTCTTATGGTCCTCTATGACGTAAGTACCCGCGACAACTTCTTTTTGCTATGACAATTGACAAAGCCCGGAAACTGATCGACGATGAAAACAGGGCGGTGAGCACGCCAAACAGCAGCCTGGCCTTCTGGGTACCACCGAGAATGAGCTTGGTTTGAGAAAGTGGATCGAGGAGCAGGGCCACACTCTGGTCACCACCTCCGACAAGGAGGGTGAGAACTCCACCTTTGACAAGGAGCTGGTCGATGCTGAAGTCATCATTACCACCCCGTTCGTTTCCCCTCTGGAATTTACTTACATTGGCGCGCAATTACTGACTTTTGTTGTAGTTTCCATCCCGGTTATCTCACCGCGGAGCGCTTAGCCAAGGCCAAGAACCTGAAGATCGCCGTCACTGCCGGTGTTGGTTCCGACCATGTTGACCTCAATGCCGCCAACAAGACCAACGGTGGTATCACTGTCGCCGAGGTCACTGGCTGCAATGTTGTCTCTGTCGCCGAGCACGTTGTCATGACCATTCTGACTCTGGTTCGCAACTTCGTCCCTGCTCACGAGCAGATCCGCAACGGTGAATGGGATGTTGCTGCCGTTGCTAAGAACGAGTTCGACCTCGAGAACAAGGTCGTTGGAACCGTCGCTGTTGGACGTATCGGTGAACGTGTGCTGCGCCGTCTCAAGCCCTTCGACTGCAAGGAGCTGCTCTACTACGACTACCAGCCCCTCAGCCCCGAGGTTGAGAAGGAGATTGGCTGCCGCCGTGTTGAGAGCCTCGAGGAGATGGTCGCCCAGTGCGATGTTGTCACCATCAACTGCCCTCTGCACGAGAGCACCCGCGGTCTCTTCAACAAGGAATTGATCTCCAAGATGAAGAAGGGTAAGTTTTGCTATCACGTTCGACTCGCGAATGACATGTTCCGCTAACTGCATCTTCCAAGGCTCTTGGCTCGTCAACACTGCTCGTGGTGCTATCGTTGTGAAGGAGGACGTTGCCGAGGCTGTCAAGTCAGGTCACCTGCGCGGCTACGGTGGTGATGTCTGGTACCCTCAGCCCGCCCCCAAGGACCACCCCCTTCGGTACGTCCAGGGCCCTTGGGGCGGTGGTAACGCCATGGTTCCTCACATGTCCGGTTCCTCGATCGACGCCCAGATCCGTTACGCTCAGGGCACCAAGGCCATCCTCGAGAGCTACTTCTCCGGTCGCCACGACTACAGACTTGAGGATCTCATCGTCAAGGACGGTGACTACGTCACCAAGGCCTACGGTCAGAGGAAGAAGTAAACATCCCAATCACTTTATGAAGCGAATGACTGAATGTACTTATTCTGGCGCATTTCTTCGGTACAGCTCACCTTTATGGGTGGCTTACCCATCTTATGATACCTAACTGGCATATCTTTTCTTCAATTCGCTGGTTCCTCCATATCGCGAGTTTCAACTCCGCTTTGTCTCGTAAAATAACCTGTATGCTCTGAAGTGCAATATGAATAGCGGATCGGAGTCGTATGATCGAGCTAACAAGTCACGTATGCGGTTAATTGCTTGACACGCGACAAAGATGCCCAGTCACATTTGGTGGCAGTGCAGTTGAGTCCTGACTTCTGGTTGGGATAGTTTGACTTGAGACTAGCTGGTGGAGACTGTCGATCAGCTAAAGCTTAACCATTTTAGAGTTGTCTGACCTGTAGGTGCAATCCTGGGACCATGACGATACCATCAATGGCTCAATACCAGCGTGATCTGTGACCCTTCAGGTAGTTTAGGACCGATTCAATGGTGTGTGCTTCAACAACTGGACCCTTCTCGTCCACATTGATCTGAAAGCTCAAGCTCAACGCCACAGCGGACTACATGGCACTCAATATTAACTTCGGTTGAACCACTATTATATGATATGTAACTGTATATATGAGTATCAGGCTCAGTTGAGCATACTTTATGTTGTGATGCATCAAGCTCCGAGGCTCCGTTTACCTCGATACGAGGTCGACCGGTCGACCACTGCTTTGGACAATCGAAACAAGATTGTCAATGTTGGTCAGTAGGATGAACTATGCCCTTGAATGCCACAATATTCGAACCAGGTTATGGAATCCTAAGCGTAAAAGATACCTCTGGTATTGCGGAGTTAGCATTCTTCACATACCTGGCGTCATTTGGTATGTAGCCAAGCCAGCATTGTTTCATGGACAGTAGATACCCCCAAATGAGATCTGTCTATCCGACGTACACATGCTCAGAATACCACGGCAATATCGTTTCAAGAGTCTAACGACCTCTGATTCAAGTTTCAGATTCGAAAAGTCTTCGATGAAATCCATCAGATACATGCGAAATATTCCCGAAGAATACATTGCATTCTTCATGCCGCTCGTCTAATATGCATATGCCCAAACGCCAGCCGTAATTGCAAGACAACAAACAAATAAGTCAACCCCAAAATCATCGACGAACCCTTGAATGGCCCTGGTCATCCCCTTCATCATCGCTATCGTCCATGAACCCCTGCTCAAGGTCCCGGCTGAGTCGGCTTCCTGCGTCGGCCGTTGTATTGCGCCGTCTTTCAAGCGCTTCCCTCCGAGAGGGATCCATGTCCATCCCGACCATGATCTCCCCCTCCTCGTCAAATATGCTGATGTTGTCGTGTTGTTCGTCGGCCTGTCGCCGCCACGACGATGGCAAGAAGAAGCGCATGACAGCATCGGCTATACGATCTCGCAAGGACAATGTATGCGCAGAAATGGCTTGCAATGGAAGATACTGTGAGTAGCGTTGATGATAGCGACGGAAGAATGGGACAATGAGGAATGAGAGGAGGAGATAAAGCGCCAGGGAGATGACGGCGGGGATAAGGAGGGTCTGAGAAGGAAGAGATCATTAGAATCAGCACCATCAGAATATGACACCGCAGCGAACTCACCTTGGCCAAATTTGACAGGGAGCCCATCTTGACTGTGGCTCAAATTGGTGGCCTGAGTTGCGTATACTGTTGTAGGCAGAAGCCTAGGTATAGGCTCACGAGTAATAATGGTGACGGTCTCGATTCAACATGAAGCCATCATGCTTGCATCACTCAACAAAGCGACTAAAACTTCTGTAGATTCCCGTTCAGGCTTCCAGTAGCCCACACCTGCTGACGATTATCTTACAGCCTGCTCGTCGTCGCAAATGCTCCGGACTAATGCGGACAAGACCACGTGACTTTATCTCCTGAACAGAGGGAACTGTCACGTGAGTCAGCGGCCCCTACTGCGTTCTAGAGCCGCCTCTTACCCCCCTAAATGAGTGATGCCCGCGCTTTAGCCCTGACAAGCAAACGAAATTCTAGCATCATCCTAGTGCCCGCACAAGCAGGACAAGCGATCACGCCCTTCTTGGGAGACCGATACCCCTCGCTTGTGGTGTTGCGACTTTTCGCATCTAGTCCGGAAGAGGAGGGAGGATTTAAAGTGTTACTATTCGGCGCCCTCCCCCCTCCTGTTCTAGCGCAGCTCCGCAGCGGGTATTCACTGCTAGTCAGGAGTCCCAAGTACGGCTTATTGGATTTGAGTTGCATGTCATTGACGCCCTTGCGCAGGTTGACAGCAACGGGGTACGTCGTTTTCTGGGAACAACCTTGTTAGCGGCAACGCTTCTGTGTTAAATCTTCTGGTGGTGGACAACGCTCATGCTGCGCCCTGCATCTCCCCAGCGACGCCCGTCAAGATGCCAACCACCACATCCGCACCCGACAAATCGAGACAAACCTCGGCTGGCAAAGGATTCTTCGGGAGGAAGCTGCACAAGGAGAGGCCGGCAGAGGATCGGTATGAGGGATATGGAGGGTCGGAGAATCTCGCGCCCCCAGGAAGCGCTGCTGGATCTCGTTCGTCCCGGCACTCGAAACGATCGTCCGTCCAATCTGTGGATTACACCCACGACTTCGATCCAAGCGGACTCTCGATGACCGCAGGTGTCATAACATCCATTCCCTTTGAGAGCCTTCCCGCCGATACCAGGTCCCCGATTCCGGTAGATTATCTGTCCAGGGCGGAGACATCGCCGCGAAAGGAGCCGTCGCCAAATCATCTTGCCAAGGGGGGCGGGGATTATCATCAATATCCAGCATGGAACCCGTCGGGACTACGAGAAAGCAACGCCTTTTCCCATCCTACAGGGCCCCGTCCCCCGCCGCATGCGTCCAATATGGCTATGGTCGGGAGTACTGCTGGAGACAAAAGCGCGAGGTATCAGCAGTGGGCAAGACCAGGCAGTTCGGCGACCAATGCTGGGTTCAGTCATAATTCTTCCTCCACCATGGATTCATCATCGACGTCGCGGATGTCCCTTGATCAGACCAGCATCCATTCGTCTCTCTCTTCCAACACAAGGGGCTCGAGTTATATCTCGTCGGACGGCTCAGCACGGACGCTCACAACATCGCATTCGGCTGATCGTGGTACTCTCTTTCCAAGCAGCGGCAACTCCAATCGACTCTCCACTGCACAAGCAGCATGGCAAGCTGCTCAGCAGGCTACGCCTCCTGCTGCACCGCCCCTCAATCCTGAACAATATCTCACGCGACCCAGGGATGATCGCATAGTGGACCAACTGTTCCTTGACCTGATGCAAAAGCGAGGCTGGCAAAACCTTCCAGAGCAGGCCAAGCGGCAGATGCTGGCGTATCCCGCATCCAAGAAATGGACACTAGTACATCAGGACCGCTTGACGGAACTACAGGGTGAACAGAAACGGAGGCAGAATGCACGTCAAACTCACGGCCATGACGGCCCAGCCGGCATTCTCGAGCGGGCCGACGAAGAAGGAAGCCCGGAGTGGTATGTGAAGAAAGTCATGGACGACACCATCACGTCAAAGCAATTGGCCAGCTTGAGTGTCAGTCTGCGAACGCAACCGATCAGGTGAGTTTCTTATAATATACTCACAACATTCTATCTCGCACTAATAAGATGACAGTTGGGTCAAAGCCTTTGTCGAAGCACAAGGTCAGATCGCTTTGACCAATGTTCTCTCCAAGATCAACCGCAGGAAAGCTTCGGGCCCTGTACCCGCACCACCGACAGGCGACCGGGACTTGGATCGAGAGTACGATATCGTCAAGTGTCTTAAGGCCCTCATGAACAACAAATATGGTGCGGACGACGCAATCAATCATCAGCAGGTCATTGTCGCTCTTATCAGCTCGCTACTGTCTCCGCGGCTGAACACAAGGAAATTGGTCAGTGAGGTCCTGACCTTCCTATGTCACTGGGCGGAAGGGGAGGGCCACCAAAAGGTCTTGCAGGCTATGGATCATGTTAAGAATCAGCACGGTGAAACTGGCCGCTTTGACGCCTGGATGCGAATCGTGGAGGTGACGATCGACGGCCGGGGCAAAATGGGCAGTTTAGTCGGTGCTAGTGAGGAGTATCGCAGCGGTGGCATTGGCATGGAGAATCTACTCATGGAATATGCGGTCTCAACCATGATGCTCATCAACATGTTGGTGGATGCGCCGGAAAATGACCTGCAATTGCGATGCCACATCCGAGCCCAGTTCATCTCCTGTGGCATCAAGCGTCTCTTGACGAAGATGGAAGGTTTTCAATACGAGGTCATCGATAAGCAGATCGAGCGGTTCAGGGAAAATGAGGCCATTGACTACGAAGATCTCCTTCAGCGGGAGAGTAGCAGTATGAAGGATAGCATCGAGGGTGAGGTGAAGGACATGAGCGATCCCCTGCAAATCACAGATGCCATTCTGTCCAAACTCAATGGGTCTCGTGCCCATGATTACTTCCTTTCCGCTATGCAGCACATGCTTCTCATACGGGAGAACTCTGGGGAGGACGGTCTTCGAATGTTTCAGCTTGTCGATGCCATGCTCAGCTACGTTGCCATGGACCGGAGACTACCTGATCTGGATCTACGGCAAGGATTGACTTTTACCGTACAAAGTCTTCTGGACAGGCTCCATACCGATGCAGAGGCAAGGCGAGCATATGATGAGTCCCTTGAGGCGCGTCAGATCGCCGAGGCCGCAATCGCTGAACGGGACGAGATGAAGGCGCAGGTGGAGATGGGAGCGGATGGTTTGGTGAAGAAGCTGCAGAAGCAGATCGATGAACAAACGAGCATCATTGAGCTCCAGACTAGACAAAACGAGGCACTCAAGGCAGAGCTTGCCGACGTTCAGCGGCTGCGTGCTCAGGAGCTGCAGCGGAATGAACTGGAAACCAGAGAGCTCTATCTAATGCTCCGGGACGCTCAGGATATCGCTGCATCGAATGCCAAGAAGAATAATCTGGGCGAGACCGATCCATCGCACATGAGGGGTATCCTGGACCGGGAAAGACTGTTGGAGCGGTTGGAGAAACAACTTGAGCGGACCAAGACGCAGTTCAAGCTGGAGGGCAAAGTCTGGGGTCAACATGGACCTTCCGACCGACTGCGTGAGCTACGGGAGCAGATGGACGGCGAACCCGACCCCGAGGACTTCCAGGAGCAAGCCCGTCGAAACTTGGACACTAGCGCTCTGGGTTCTGTTCATCGCAAGAGAAGCCATGTTCCGGAGATGGAGGTTCCCAACGCTCAAGAGAGGCCATCGGACAAGGACGGGACACTTCTCGTCAACTTTGGACGACCGCGAATGGATCCGAAACAAGCGTCTGGTTTGCTGGGAGAGATTGCTTCTAAAGTTCCAAAGATCGACGCTGAAGATGTCGAAGCTGACGAGGGTGTTACTCAACCATCTCAACCCGACACCGAAGAAGCCCAGATCGGCCAAGATGAAGAAGTCAAGCTCGAGGGCGAGAGCGAAAGGCCCGAAGAGAAAACTGTATCCGTGCCTGCACCTCCTCCTCCTCCTCCTCCTCCAGGTGGTGCGGTAGGC